GGTGAAAGTGTTCATTTATCTGTCGTCGGTCTCGTTCAGTTGTCTGACTGCAGTGAAAATTGATAACGAACATGAAGAAATGCTGAAAGTCAACTCGTTGATCTCACTGAAAACTTACTCAATCTCTCTATATTTTAACGCCGCATAGATTTGAAAGCACATATAAGCTAGTAGATAGGCATTAGGTATAGGCTTTGACGGTAAATATGGTGCTTCTTCAGTACTGATATTTGCTGACAACATTTGCGCGTGACGGATTGCTACACGTGAAAGCCGGCAATTCGCGCTTGCAGGATAGCTGCAAAACGCACATTTTTGAGTTTGCCGCCATTTAGCAATTTTTTTCTCGCGACTGGTTGCCAGCAAATCTCGGAAGCGCCAGGACACCATATCCACCGTCCAGTCTACGGGCCTATATGTAAAATAGTGCGCGGGCCATTCCCATAAAGTTAACTGAAACACGGGAATAAATTTAAGCAGTGTAAAATGATAGGAATTCAAGGAGAAGTAAGCAGAGTAATGACTTATGATCTATTAGGTTTTGTCGCACAAGTCTCATATTTGAACCATCGAGTTGATATTTCTTAAGAACTGCACTTACAACACATATTTGCGAGGAACATAGAACTGCTAGACGCAAAGTTCAAAAGTTCAGCGCATTATTTTTTCTTGATTTTCAGCCACTAGAAATATGCAACAAGTACATGTACCAATATTTGATGGGAAGATTATATGCGTGAGCGAGTGGGAAATTCAAAGAATTGTTTGTTGTTTAAATTGTTTGTTGAGATACAATTAATTCAATTATTATAAATTGTTTTAAGCTGAGATACAATTATTTCGTTTTTATGGGAAACCAGGTTTCATTTCGGCTCAAAACTCAGTGCGGATCAAGCTTGGTTCGAACTTTCAGATGCCATCTTAAAGAACTTGCTTTGATCTGTCGAATGGTGCTTCCCCCCCCCCCCCCCCTCTCCCCATCTTATGAAGAATTCAAAAGAATTGATCTATGTCGGTGAAAAGTCAGATATGAAAAAATTTATGGGACAACCTAATATGTGGATTGAACTACGCACCACCCTGTAAAAATAGTGTTTGATTTTTCATTATAGATTTTAATTCTGGAACTTCGACGACTGTCCTGCGAACTTTCTAGCTAACCTTCGTGATGGTTTGCATCTTATTATTATGAGACTCTTCATTTTCTAAAGTAACATTCCTGACGCTATTCCTTGAATAACTCTCTGCCTGATGTGAGGTAGCATATATCGAAGTATTTTGCAAACTCTGAAGATTTATGAAGCATGAATAAAACTATCCTCTTTTTGCATATCCATTTATCTTTAGGAGAGTTTCTTCCACGCTATCAGCTTGCTGTGCAGAATGATCATTTGCTGATTTGCGTTCTTCTATAGTATTTGCTCTTCGTAGTCCGAACAACTGTTGGCTCTGCAAATCATTCGTAATCTCTCTATTGTTGCATTTTTCGACACACTATCTAGTTTGCAAACCTTGTCGACCGCACTTGGGCTCAAACCACCATTTTTCAACTTTTTCCAGCGTTATCTTCGCGAAGAAAACACTGATTACAGTCTCGTACTAATGATTATTTGCTACGCTGCCACAAACCGGTTTGCGTGGAATTTTGGGCATTTGCAAAAAAAGATTAGGCGAAAACAGCGAGAGTCGTATTAAAAACAAAGACTGGAGAAAGTTTGTGTACCAAGTGTTTGATTGGCGGGAAATTTCTCGAAATTTTTTCTCGAGGAGCTAAAGAGTACCGAAGCGGCAACAAACAAAACTTTATTTCTGCCAATCAACTTGCGCCAGCTAATGCTAGATTTTGTTTGAGCCGCTTTCATCACCAAGGCTTCTGGATTGTCAATCCCCACTATAAACCTCAGTGCATCAAAACTTGTCCATAGAGCATTCATGTTGACATGAGACAAATTTAACCCACCCAAGTTTGATAGGCGTTACGGTGCAAGGTTAGGCAGCACATGATAGCTACATAAGTTTCTTCATTTTTTCCAAGTCATTTTTGCAAATGACCGAAATTTACTGTAAATACCTCTTTGTCACAAGGGAATCATAACAATTTCAATCATTTTTGCATATGACCGAATTATTGTAAATACTTCTTTGTCACGAGGAAAGGGAAACAATTTTATTTGGAATTAGGAGATGGCACTTTGCCAAACGTCACTCTTATCACCTACGCACTTTGCAAGGAATGCTTTCTAACCCTTCATCATCAAAGTCCTCCTAATAGATTTTCTTAGTGCTGGCCAGCGCAAGTCGTTCACAATCTTGTTTTTTTCTTCCTCTGCAAGTGCAAAACACTATCTGCAACCTCGGCAATTGCACTGTGGTCCAGCACGGCTAAAAAAAAGAATGTTCTGTGGCCTACACTTTTCGTATATCTGAATGAAACTAATTTCTAGAAAAGGCGAACAAATTCAAAAGCCTTTGTATAGAGAGTGCTTTTGTATTCCTCAAATCATTAATGACTACACGATTTTTGCAATTTTTAGGGATCTTTGACAAATTGAGTCATCACAAGCAACTTTTTTTGACTCAAGCTGATGTGAGCAAGAAAGTCTAAGCTGGTTAAGTTGTTCATTGAATATCCAGCTCATTTGCAAGGATCTGTGGAAAGATATGCATATTTAAACAAAGTGTTTTTTTAACATTTGGGTCACCGGTAGCCCACGACTTAGTCAATGGAATGGATTGAAAAGCAAATATCGTCGCTTGAATGAGTGTTTACTTTTGAAAGAAGTGCTTTTGAACTTCCGTCTTGGTACTCGACAGAATAGCTTTGAAGTAAAAAAAGATGAAGCTGTTGATTAGCTCCCTAAGCTGCTGATTAAAACTGAAGTGCACTGCTTAGGATTTTTCCATGTCACTTGAATTGAAGGGAAATAAACTAAGCTTACCGAAATGCTAATTCCTTATCTTTACAAATTGCAGAGCACTTTGACTACTAACACTCTTCATGCTTTAAAAAATTGAGAAGGGCTTGTTGCTAGCGCAATTTTTTGGGAATGAAAAATTTTCATGAACGAACGTTAGTCGTAGTTACTGAGAGCAGTGACTCTAAACAACAGATGGAATTTCTTGGTATTTTCTGACTTGCTTATGTCGTTTCGGATATATTTTTGCATCAAAATGTTCTCTGCTAACTGTCATTAGTCATTATATACACGCTAACCTCGTGTGACATCATCTGTCTGCTAAGCGCATGATGAATCGAGTCTCCCACGAAAATTCTGCGAGAACTACTCATAACAGCTGAGTGTGTACTATATCCGAACTTTCGAGTAGGACATGATTGTTTTCTGTTGCTTTCCACTTGCTTTCTCTCTCGCGTGCTCTCTCAGATGGGGCGGCGGTGATTCCCGCCCTCATTCAGGTTACACTCGATGTCTCTGCTGTCCATCAGATCGGCTCCGTTCGTACCCACGTTTTTGCCTCTAATATATCCCTCTCGATACACATCGCCCTTACCGGTTCCAGTGCTGCTCTTAGCGACCACCGCTTATCTACGCCCGTAGAAATCGAAAAATTTGGTTTCGAACCGCGGCGATAAGTTTGAGTTCCTAGGAGCAAGTCTCGTGTGCCTCTTTGCTACCAGCTCTCCATAAGCAAACAGTAGCATAGTGCAGTAGCTCAGAACCAGTGTTTCTGCAGACAACATTGTATAAAAAAAATGTTATCACCTTCATTCTTTTACCCCTTTTTTTCTCTGCCTCTTCATAACTCTTATTACCACCACGGTGCGTGAGAAACGCAGCAATTTTCCACAAAAGTGCACAGCTACGAATTTCGCACTAGCTCACTGCCGAGTGCTTTCAATGGCATATATTAATGCTGTGATCCTGAAACATATGTGAGCCAACGGAATGCGAGCGGAACCTTGCTGTAATCCATATGCTGTTGACTAAGTACTCTTGCCAGACCGGTCGGTGTTTTGAGCGTCTTAGCAATAATTAACGTCTACATGCGCCGCTCGAGACGCGCTAAAAATTTTCCTTGTTTGTCTTCTGATCGCATCTGTGCTCACCTTCCTAGTGGTCAGAATGATGCATTTGATGTTTATTTGGTGGCAAGTGATTTGTTTATCACCTATGCTGTTGATGCTTGGTCTAATGGTGATAGATCAGGTGCCAATCCAAGCATCAGCCTGATCTCACGTCACATTTCGAATCCTCGCTGCTCGTCAGTGCGAACACTGTGCCAATCGTTCCCTGTGTAATGCATAAATCCCGCACTTTCTCTGAGACAATAGATTAGTAAGCATGTCATGTGGCTGACGACTCACAAAGTTCGTCGTTTGAGCCGAACAGCAGCCACAGTTATTGACGTTTTTGGCGTGATCGCGACGTTCATTCATTCGCTGCAAAGTCTAGCAAACTAAACAGCGTTATCAGTAGTGTACTCGCAAGTAGCAGCAACCGCCGTGGTTCAAACCTGACCCTTCTTTGAGCTGTGGCGGCTGCCTTTTTTTTTGTCAGCTTTTCTGCAACAAGGGCCGCTTTCGCTGGAGTTTGATCCAGCCAGGGGGAGGGCCCTGATCTATCTGTTCCAGAGCTCGGGTGGCGGGAGTATTGATCAGACACGAGTGCGGGTGGCGCGCTTTTCCTACTGGCGGGGGATCGACATTTCGGAGAAGGTCTCGTGCTCGCCCACCGGATCTGACCTGGTGCTGAACTTCTACGCCTAGCCGGCGCGCCTTCCGCCCCTCGGGATGCACTCCGGCTCCTCCAGCTACGCCCCCTTCCTGCTTTTTGCCTCCCGTTCTAGTCTGTTCGTTCTGCAGGCCGATAATTTGTATCTCATGTCATGATCGTAACCTTTACTCCGCAATGATAGCCGAGCCGAGTGCGACCTTGCAGAGTACGATTTTTCTGAGGACGTTCGGGACGCGGCGTATAGCTATAGCTGGCGGCTCCACGCATAACATATCATGACACCGTCATCGTTGCCCGATTCTCTGCATCCATTCCAGTGAAATTATTCCCACAAAAAGGTCCAATGACGAGTCAGCCGAGCGCGCCTGTTGTCTTCTGTTGCTGTTTATGTCCTGCATATGTCAGTCCGCCCTTAGCCATGCGATTCAGCTTAGATCTCTTTCGCGATCTCTTTACATCCAACCGTGTTGACTCGTGCCTCCTTAAACTCAATATTTCTTTTCACTTGTATTTTTTCAGTCGTCATGTCTGAGGCCTGGGTCACACTTGCTACCACCGATGGCTACGCACAAGGAGCTCTAGTTTTAGCGCATTCAATTAAAGCTACGGGAACCTCCAAGAAATTACACTGTATGGTGACACATTATGTGAGTTTTATATATAAAGTTTATATCGTTTTTTCCCTAACCTTTCCAAGGGCTGTTTTTGCGCTTCTCACTTCTTCACAACAAGAAAAGGTCAACTCGCTATTTCTGAAAAACAAATTCTTTGCTGAATCTTGCATACGAATCTTTCCTAAAAAATATCAGGAAATCATTTTAGGTTTCTCCACGACTCCGTAGTGAACTAGAAGCGCAGTTTGATGAAGTATCGCTTGTGGACGTACTCGACAGCAACGACCAGGTAAAGATAAATTAAGATTTTTTATTTGCACTATACTTTTTCTTCCCTAACGTATGTCATAAAATGCCGATAGAAGCACGTAATACGTTGCAATACTATGGCATGTGTTCGCTACTGCAAAGTACATTCCGTGATTTTCAGGAAAATCTGGCCCTAATTAACCGACCCGATCTTGGCGTAACCTTTACCAAGCTTCACTGCTGGAGGCTTACACAATACACAAAATGTGTATTCTTGGATGCAGATACTATGGTATGTCATAAAAAGTTGCCTACTCCAAAAATTATTGATCACGTGTTATTTCTCAAGTATTTTTTTTATCAAAAGTCTCCTGAATTTTGTGCACCGAGTTTTTTTTTGCACTGTGTCCTGCAGTAGTTGCACTTTTGGCCAAAACAGGAATGAATGGCAATTGTCCGATTGTGTAGCGTAATCGGAGCTAACCCATTGAGGCCTCCGACGAATGCCTCTAATTGAAGGGTTTTGTGCGGGACTAAATTCGGCATAAAGTGAGCTCTGAAAAACATGTGAATTGTTTATCACATATGGTTTATGCAAAGAAAGAGTATTCAAACAATTTTCGTTACATGAGCATTAGTACATCAATCCTGCTCAAAATCTGACATTTTGCTGAATTACAAAAGCAGCTGAAAAGTTCAATTCGTGCATTGGTAGGTTTTTCTTCACTAATTTTTCACGCAGCTAGATATCTTATATCTCTACAGCTGTTTCAAAAATGATTAATTATGACATGTATATCTGAAACACCTTATCTCTTCAAATAGCGCATTAGCTACCGCGCAGATGTGTGTCCAGACTTAGTCGAGCTGTAAGTGAAGTCAAAGCATTCCGCTAGAGTCTCACCAGCCGTGTAATGATTAATGCAAACAATACACATTTCATCGCCAGAACAATAAACCGGTTTGTTCATATCAGAAATCTATTTGGTTTTTCATAAGACTCTAGACTTCCGGCGTGTGAGCTTTTTCTGAGAATTCCTAATCGCCGTGTTTCGAAAGCATTCGTTAAAATGAATAATGTCCTTGACTATTTTGATTAGGTGGTTTTTGATATGGGCTGGTAGCAGCCAGTCAACTCTGTTTACTTCTACTACCTGCTGACTTTTTCTGCACTGATTTTCAGGGAAAAATTTTCAGGGCTCCATAGCAGCGTTATATTTGCGTGTTACCGCAAAATAAAAGTTTCGATATCCGCTTTCTAGGTTCTTCAAAATGCGGATGAACTATTCGAAAGACCAGAGTTCTCGGCTGCTGCTGACATTGGTTGGCCAGATTGTTTCAACAGTGGAGTCTTCGTTTTTGTGCCCAGTATCGAGACTTATCGTGAGTATTCGATGTACATGCAGACTTTGAACTGTTAGGCTTGCAGCTTTTCGTTTTGTTGGATAGAAAAAACCTTCGAGACTGCAACAAGTTTAGGTCGTCTACTGCAATTTGCGATATCACATGGCTCTTTCGATGGAGGTGATCAAGGACTCTTGAATGAGTTCTTTGCCGGCTGGCGTGATATGCCACCAATTCATCGACTTCCATTCATATATAACATGACAGCCGGTGCTTTTTACACGTATGCGGCTGCTTACAGAAGGTGAGTTTATTTCTGTCGGACACTGAGTCAGATCCGGCTGCTTTTACGAATTTACGGCGGTTGCACCCAAACTGTACTGGTAGCCTTCGCACTGCAACATATGCAAATGATTAATGGCTAACCTCGTCGGAAGTGGCAGTCGAGCAATGTACACTTTTATAGGTTCGGAAAATCGACGAAGATTGTTCACTTTATTGGAGCCGATAAGCCGTGGCACGGTTCAGCGGCCCTGCATCAGAGTGAACACATGGCAAAGTGGAAGCAGATCCATCAGCAGAATGTCGCTGCCCATGTGAGCCGTCATGATCATGTCCTCACACACACTGCTGAGCAAGCACGATCTTTCCTGTCATGCAGCTTTCCCTCTTAGCCTCGTAGTTTTTGCATTTGATGCAGTCCGTTGTTGAAATCGGGTAGAATATGTCCCGCCTTCTAGTGCTTGTCAAGCTTTGATTCTAAAGTTAACAATATCACTGAACGAGTGCGAAAGAATTGAGCGCTTGCATTCTGCTCTCCCGATTTCAAAAAGCGGTCGCCCTGCCCCCGAATTTGCCCGTTGTATGCATGTTTTCCAGTGCGACAGTAGTAGGTTCTGCCGTTCGTCTTTTCCATAACAATTAGCTGCGAAGCGTATTTTAAAGACGGCTCCGCCACCACCGCCACCGCCACCGCCGCCGCCGCCGCCTGCTCCGCCTCGGTCTCCGCCGCCGTCGCCGAGACGTTACACTCCGGCTCCGCTCTGGTCACCGCCGCAGCCCGAAGCGGAGTCGTTCTGTTTTGTTTACGTAGAACCGCCACGTGATGCTCAGCAGAAAGCTCCGCACGAGCATGGACAGAGTTTAGGCGGAAATTTGGTTTGTGGGCCTGCCGTGTGTGTAGCTGTAGAGCATGCCTCCGTAGTTCCTAGCAGTGAAGGAAGAGAAAGCGCAAGGAGCTGGGTCGACGAGGAGGTCGCCTCGATAATTGTAAGTCCAGTGGTTACTAATAATTGGAGCCTCTGGCAGAATCCAAGGTATTTGCTTAGTAGGAAGCTTGTTAGTGTGCTTGGGTTGTCCAGAGACGCTTTGAGGTCTGATCTCTTGTCATCTCACATTTCAAAACGATCGTGCTGCTCTGGTGTAATTACACAATCTTCACTAGTAACTGCATATCACCCTGAAGATGCAGGGATAAGATACTCATCTACGTGATCATTGCCTAAGTGCAGACACCGCCTTTCGCCACACAAACAGCAAGAAACTAACACACAGAAGTCGGAATCTCATGCTTTTTGAATTAGAAGTTAGCTTGCGATTCAACAGGAAGAGGGGACGATCGTTTGAATGTTTATGTCAAAATCATCGGTCTCTGCTGCTTCCGTATACGTCCATATACTTGTGGGTTCTGCTAGAGGGCCTTCGAATGCATGGTGTGCAGCTAATTTTCTATCGAATTAATAAAGAACATTTTTTCGTTTACTTCTCGCTCGGTTGTGTTTTTGCGGTGTTCTTGGCTAACTGTGTGTGAATTACAGGGTGAAGCATGTACCCCATCTGGATCAGTTCGACAAAAGGTGAGTACTTGGCAAGAAAAGATAGAGCGGAGAACCGACTGTGATGGAGATATGACACTGAGCTATCTCTTTGCTGTGTAGCCTTGCAAGGAATTGGCCAAAACCTTATCCCATACAGCTAACGCTTACTTAAGAAATTAAAATGGAGAAGAAGTGCTTTTAGATGCCTGTTTGTGAGAGTTGGTTATTTTAGACACCCTCACCGAGTGAGGAGGAAAGGCTACGTGCCTGGGAGTCTGGACACCCAGACTTCATGGGCCGTGACGCATTCTCGAACATCCAAGCAGCTCTAGACCGTGCTCTCCAGGAATAGATGACTCAACACGTTCTCACGAAGACTCGCCCGTGGTCTCCGCACCACTGCATTGTTTTACTGTACCTATTCGTTTCATATGCCTGCCTTTTTGCATCATTCTCGTAATATCACACCTATAAGATGCAGTAATCATCATTAATCGAGAACTCACTCGTCGTGCTCATCCAATCTTTCGTTCTGGTGCCTGTAGCAGTGTTCGTGTTCTACACTCTCTCAGCAAACTCGTCTCAGCGAGTTTGCATATGCTCAACAAATCTTTCACAAATTCATAGTTCGTCTAGTCTTTTGACTCATTCTGTGCCTAAACGAGTGGTTACGCTTATTCAAAGTTTAAGTTGTTATAATATTGGTTTAAAGTTTATTGCATATCTTGTTTGAGCAAGTGTTCAAGTAAGGTTTCGGCATAGGTTACCTGGTACATGCCATCACAATGATGTTTGATCAGTAATAGTAGCTGTGTTTGATTAACCGAGAAAGATAGACACGTACAGGTCTCAGTCTTTTTTTTATCTCAGTAGGGACATTGACAAGTACACTTTTTTTTAAAGACTGAATTACCTTCATGTGTAAGTGCTTGCAGCTGAATTGAAATCAATTTGAAACGAAGCAGATGTTAAGGCAATTTGTCTTCAGTTGCGAACACATGGAATTAAATGAGGGTACTTTTAAGTGTAGTGTTTAAGTTCTTGTGTGAAGGACAGTGAATGAGACTCCAGTCGAAAATTCGCACTTAGGCTCCAACGCTTTGGTAAAAATAGTTACAGCTGTGTGAAATCAGGACAAGCGTAGGCGGGGTGACATCCATACCGACACTAACTGGCTGAAACCATCATTCGGTCAATTTATGTGCATAGTAAAGGCCCTGATAGTTTGAAAAAAAAGTAGTATGGAACTTGGTCTGAGCGTTGGTGTTGTATAGCAGCTTCTAGAAACTGTGGACCAAGTGTAGGATGGTGTATATCGATATGTGAATGAGCACCATGGCTCAGAGGTATTGCGATACTCCAAAAATAATTTCTCTTCCACTTTGAGGTGGTGCCAAATCTCAAAAATCATTTGAGAAAAGATCCAAGATGCATTGGGCGCAGCATTACTTCCTCCTCCTAGTGACCGAGTTTAAGACCAGAAACTCACAACAATTCGAATATTGCACAAATTTGCAGGGTATCGTTTTTACCTTTGTTCAAATTCCGCCACTGCCTTTTTTTATACGGGTTTCTCAGCCAGCAAATAACCATCACATATAGCAAAGTCACTCTTTTCTTTTTATCTTGAATTTTCTCTCTGAATTTTCAAAAATGATGATATTTTTTTGCGAAAATCATGGTTAACCAAGCGTAATTTTTTGACGCTTGTACCTAAGGCCTTGCAACAATTTCAAAGACTTCAAATGTATGCAAGTTTGACTGCTCAGATCCTATAAGAGTTTGTGTGTGTACAGAATTGGCAACTTTGAAAGCTATCCTAACCCACATGTAAAGCGCACAACCTCCTCTTATACAAGCTTATTGAGTTTTGAATTCAGTTCATTCCGGATTATAAAACGAGGAAAAAACGAAATATCTTTCGGAGTGACATATCAGTTTGGAAGCGAAATAAGCAAATTCAAATGCAAAGAGCTCCCATTGTGTGTGCCTGTCATGTCTTGCACTCGTCACTGAAGCCGGTAATGGTAGATTAACGCAGCGAATGCCATCCGATTTGAGTATTCGGTTACCGAATGTGCTGTCGGAACCTCCGCCGAATCCGCGCTCTCTGACACATGGCGTCCACTCTGCTGCGTCCAGTGCGTACACACTATCTGGCTGACCTCTACGGCTACCACCGTGGCCAAGTGGGTATATCTGTTTTTGAATCGTTCTGGCGGGAAGCTGTTCTTACGTTCCCCGTCCACCTCAAGTCTTCAGATTAGCCACGGGAGATTAATTTGAACACTCAACCTGTTTCTTTTGCTTTGTGATAACCGGATCGCGATCTCCAGCGATTTTCCTCCCAACTTAATCGTGCTGCTTTCCCATGGCAGTTCGCCTCTCACTCGCACATGCACAAATTATCGCCACTCATCGCCTTCCCTATCCTCAAGTACTGTTAATAATGTGGTAGGCATGTAATAACTATATGAATATGGCTTCTGACCATCTGTCAATCACAGCGACGCCTCGTGCTTGGACTGCGTTCATTGTTTGCCTCGGTACGTTGATTGCGTCCGTTCCACATTTGAATTTTCTGCGACTGGCGCTATTTTGCGCCCACTTATCATGCCTTTTCGAACTCCGTTGCTTATCAAAATTTCTTCAAGACTTGTCCTATCAAGGTTGCAACGTGCTATGCACATGTAAATGGCCACACGTTCCTAAAATGTTAAAAACATTCCCCAGTTAATCATTTTTTTACAATTTTCATTCACCTCTTTAAATCAAAGGTTATGGTTATTTTTGACTTGCTCCATTTGTCACCACTGTCCTCAGTTAATTGCTTCTAGAATTGTTGATTTTTTTCGTTATTTATAATTTTCGTACCCTCCAGACCAGAGGTAAGAATATTCATATTCTGTGCTTCCAAAAATGAATCGAAAACGTCCTACCGTAATGATTGCTTCATATAAGTGCTTTCGAATACATATCTTACTTTGGATGTTTCAATTCGATCTGATAATTGGTCACCTCCTGAACAATGAAATATTTGTCATGTCTTGGTCAGGGAATCGGGTACAAGAGCTCGAAAATTCGAGAATATGAATGTTTTCATCATTGATTCTTATCTATTCGCAGTAGATCAGTTTTGTGAAGAGATTTTTGTATGATAGGAAGAACCAGGTAACAAACAATAGTCCCATCCTCTCCAATTCTTTTTTTGAGAGCAAAATTCTGAGTATTCCTTAATAGTTCTACTAGTGTAAACCAGTTCACTAATCTTCTCCAAGTCTTCTTTGAGAAAATAATTATGAGTAGACCTAAATATGTTCTACTAGTATAAACCAGTTCACTGGTCCTTCTAATTCTTCTTTGAAAAAAAAAATTTCTTGTAGTCTTAAATATGTTTTATTAGTGCAAACCAGTTCGCTGACTTTATACGAATTTCTTTTTATCACTTTTACGTCCCCTAGTCTCTGCCAAAATACAGACCGAAATAAAAGTCGTTGTATGGAAGTTTCAAGATCAATTTGAAGACAGTTCCGACGGAGTATGTGTTAGTAAATTTTTCCTTTTGGATGGCAAGACGTGTATTGTGCTCGAGATAATATTTATTTTGTTTTCCGTTTTCTTTCATAAAAAGGAAATAGAGCATCGTATCATGTTATCTCAGGCAAGTGTTTGCGTAACTTGCATTGCGTTGCATTTGCTTGTCATGCTTGGCGCTATTTCTTTGATCATTGCGCGTTCCTCGTAATAAGGTCGACATTTATGGACGTGTCATGGATTGATGTGTTCCCTTAGCACCGTCCTCTTCTCGGATTTCTTTCTCAGACTCTCGGTTGGTCAGACTCTGTGTCACTTACGACACAGCTGACTTACAGCTTTCTTTTTTAACAGTTTTGGTAAGATTTCGTGCAGCTCTATGAGAATTTGGCATATTGTTATTTAGCTATGATTTTCGCAGGGAGGTATCTCTAAACTCATGAACCACATATCCACTATTCAAAATCTTCTGTTAGCAATAAAGGACAGTCTAGTCCCAAAATGCCTAGATCTGAAAAAAGCGGTTCTTTTCTTTTCGCTTTTTTATTCGAACCATGTTGTGGTGGATAGACGAGGAGGGTAATTGATATATACAAGTCTTCTTCGCTCAGCGAACAAAATAAGAACTGTGATCTGCTGTTTGAATTTCTTGTAATCAGAAGTACGAAATTCTCGCATTTGCATTCCACGAGAAAATCGAAGCGTTGTACTTCTTTGCGTCTTTTCGTCTTTGGAAAAACATCTCTACTGAAACAAAGCGTACCTTCTGATTTTACTTGAAGTGCTCTTTCCAGAGATTCTATATATTGGTCAAAATATTCTGTAACATTTCTGCGAGTTGCCAAAAAGACCAAAATCATCTATCAGCCAACTCAATGATTTTCTCTGTCTCAAGCTTTCATCACTAAAACAAATCGTCTTTTAATTCCGCTTTCATTCTTCGATAGATCCTTATAAATTGTCACGACATTGATGGCAGCGCACTATTTGGATGTGACACTGCGACCTAAGTGGATCCTTAACGTCATGAATTATATCCTAAATTCTATGCTAATGTATGCAGCCATTGCTCTGTTATTCGCCCACCCATCCTCTGTGTTCAAGTTTATATTCGTCTTTTTAGTATCCCTTCTCCTCTCGTGATAGCCTAAAATATGATTCTTTTCGCTATCAAATGTTCATCTTTTGAGCTACTCAAAAATACCTAACAGATCTTTACTTAATCTCTTTCTACCTTTACTTCCATATAAAATTTGTATCGTGCCACCACTCCTTCATAGTGCTCTTCAACTTTTTTTTTGTTCAATTTTTTACCATGCAGATTATACTTCTGTAATTCGCTCATTTTTTTTGATAGCTTTCTAAGCTTATTTCTTGTAGACCCTTGGCTCAACTTGCACCATGCACTGCCAATCTCGCCCGATTTTTTTGAAAACAAAATTCGGTCTGCGCATCATTTCTCGATTTCCAGACGGTTTTTTTTGTAGCATTGCTTATCTCCAAGTTGATCTTCACGACTTGGATCTGTTTTTTGGTATTTACCAATTCAAGCGTCGCGCCATTTTTTATTTTGAATTCAGTTGAATCATATTCAGGCTATTTTGGGCGCAATCTGCACTATTTTTCCGTGGAGCTTTCTAAATATACTGAGTTCCGAAACAAGGCACCCTTTATTGAAAAGTTTTTCTTGCCTTAATGTTTCCTAAAGTATCACGCCTGACGGCTGCTAATAACTTTTCATTTCCAAGCATGGATGTAATAGGAGCCTACTGCATATCAGCTTTAATATGATTAGCTTTGTTTTAGGTGTCCAAGATGCCTGAAAACTTTTGAATGACCACTTAAATCGGCTAACTCATACTAAATTCAAATTTTTGAAGCGCTGCAAATCTTTCAAGGGGTAAAAAAAATTTGGCACAGTATATAGTGTGACTTGTGGATGAGAAATTACATTGTAAGCAAATTTCAAACTTGATTTCATTAATTTGGATTACCGTAACAATGGGCATAGTCATATTTTAGCCTTCTCGAGGGATCAAGATTTTCCAATGATGCAAAGCCGCTTTGAAATTTCGAGCACAATTTCGAAGAAAAAAGAAAAATATTTTTTTTTACTATACTGAAAATCTAAACCAAGCCAGTGTTTGAAGATGGAACCTTAGGACTCGTAAGAAACACTGAGCTAAGAGAATAATTAATGACCAGACAGAGGGTACAATTTTCTGGACACCCTGTCCATATATCCTGCGTAAGAGCCCGCTAACTGTAGAACTACTAAATCTGTCGTAAATACTGCTTATATATCTGATTTACGATGAGTTAGATGATGGCGAGAATTTCTTTACGGTCGCATCAGATCGTTCATCAACGCCTTTGGCAACTGGCTAGAGGATTATCGTAACAGATAATCGAAGTCGTTACGCAACAACATTATCCGTACTTCTTATGTCATATATGATTTTCACGCCATCGTAATGTCATAGTCTGCTCTTGTAAATTATGGTCCGCCCCTTTGAATATCACTATCATCAATCTAGCTTGGGCTCTTTGCTAGTTGTGTTTGTAGAGTGTAGACCCCTGAGTACTGCAGTGGTCTGCTGTTCCTCAAGCTCTCTTAAAGGGTTAAGTTATTAGGTGTAAGACCACCCATGGTGAGCCAGCGTGACGTGCTCACTTCGGTGGTGACCTTATTTGATGTGTTGATTGATTGGTTGTCTTTTCTTGAGTTACTCTCCTCTTGTTGTTTATCTTTGCCTTCGCCATTTCCTCCCTCTTTCCTTCTTCCTTGAGTCATTTTACTTGCAGCTCACAATTCTGAGATGGCCCGACCTGAGGGCTTCCAACGTTATAATATAGACTACGATTATGAGGGCTACTCCTACTCAGGTAAAAGTATCCATTAGCTAGCAAAAAGACTTGATCCTCATTTGTTCTTTACAGAGTCTGACTCTGATAGTAGTTCTGAAGGCTCATCCTCGCTGCCACCTTTTCAATTGCCCAAAGCAAGGATGGACGAGAAATGGATGAGGGACAAGAGGTCAGTGTGCTCATAATTATCGTTACTATAATGAACCGACGGGCAGGAATTAAACAGTGATTAGTGTCAAAAAACACCAACGGTATTTATACTAAAGAAGAGACCTTATTGAGGGAGTTTACTCTTATCATACATAGCCAAAATGAGGGCAGAGGTCGTAGCGTTCTGATAAGTGGGGTTCAACGTGTCCAAAGAGTGATTATAAAGATACGTTTAGAACTGATACGAGTTCTAGCAAAGACATCACGATTATCAAAAAGCATTTTAAAACTTCCAGAATATCAAGAAAACCACATTATGGTATATCAACACGAGGACATATCAAACCCACCGATAGCAGCTCATTATCGACGATTCAATCCAACATTTCATCGCTTTTGGAATCCACAAATGATGAGGATGATCTTTTGGATCTCTACACACCTGTGCAGAAAGGCGAAAAACATCGGGTGCCACCTGTATTCGCCATGCCTCAGGTAAATAATGAGAGTAGTGGTAATAAAAGTCACAACATATGTTATTTAGGAATTATCACCTGTCATGGGCACATCCATTGATGAGCCACCAAGCGTTCCCTCATTAAGACTGCAGCGAGATTGGAGACCTCAGCAAACATCTACTTCGACGTCGTTTCAGGTGAATTATCTGCCAAGACAAGCTCGGCTACCACTGCCAATCTTAGGACACTTCTAAAACATCAGAATTTTAGCCATTTGTGTCAACCCTGCCGAAGACCAATCCTCATCATGGTCCGAAGTTTGTTAGTTCGACCCCTCGTGCATCAACTGCGAACCGAATTCCAATGTACAGTTATAATCAAATTATTGAAGGAGCATCACGGCCAAGTAGTTATTATAGCGAGGTATGTACAATAAAGAGGTACATTACAAAAAATGAATATATTCGCTTAAGGATCTGTGTGAACTTCCGTCATCAGCGCGATCACATGTGGAAAACGTGAAGCCAACATTTTATCGTCCCGAAAACTTTGGCTTGCCGACGGGTGTGGCGAAAAATGTCGGAAGCGAAGGTAAATGGTTTTTCGAATATAGGAGTTGTTAGAGCACAATGAGCAAGCTACACCATATATACCACCATATCTGCGCAAATTTGTACATCTCTCAATGACTGGAAGGTATCGCGACCGCGTTGCTGCAATGGACGCAGCTTATGCATTGTCTGCTTTGATGACACTGTTCAAACGTCATAGATATACAAGCTCAAAACTTCGTCTTTCAGGAATTGTTTTTCTGAGTATGACTCTTTGTGGAAATCAGCTAAATGTTACAATAAATGAAGCCGTGTACTTCCAAGATCCTTATCAACCACAAATCTCTTCATACGTGAGGGTAAGTTTCAGCTAGAGATTGGTGGTATTGTAAAGCATCATTTTGCACAATCTTTTCTTCAGGTGGAAATGCGCAGACGCTGTGGAAATAGCCGAAAAAGATACTACAGGGAAAAGATTCAGTCCTATAAAACCCGTAATTGGGTGGGAACAAACCGACCAACTTTCAACGAAAAGTTCACATTGTAAGGACTTTCGAACTTCAGTCATATCTAAATAAGCTTATAAGTTAGGAAATTTACGATTTTGCTTGCTGACCTGCTTCGTAAACATTTGATTTTTGATCCATATATCGCAAACGGGCGCAATTTGAATCTTATCGTTGAGCGCCATCGCAAAGTCTAGTAGCCGATTGTTCGAACTCCTCATTGAGGCGGCAGACTCTGTTACTCTGAAACGCAGAGATTATTCAGTAAAAAAACAAACTGTCAAAAATGTCTGACCTTTTTTACAACCAAATAACTTGTTACAAAATACTTCCTTCCAGTTACATCGATGAGGACAACTACTTTCGCGACTTGCTTACAATTAGTGTTTACAAACTGAAAGCGGACAATCACCAGCAGTAAGTTTAATTAGCCAGTCGTGACCAAATCAGCTTCACCTTCTTATCTATAGCGAATTCACAATATTGACCCGATCCAAAATTAGCTGTCTCCTATTTGATCACTGAACAGTCAGTCACTTGCTATAAAGGACAAACAAGAGAACAATTTAGGCGTATGAGAATGCTCGGTTGTATGACGTTCCCCGTGAAGCGGCTCATGAAAAAGGCCAGAGAAGCAGTAAGTTTCACTCACTCCTCTTAAAATTTGTCATTTCGCGCGCATTGTGTAAGGCGCGTACAACTCGCTGGGCTGACGGTAATATCAATGTTGTCTACACTTTTGCTTCCTTCTTCTACACTTGTACTTAAGAATGTATAATCGTGTGAATTTTCAGAATGATGGGTACTACATCGATGAGAATATGACGATGGATGAAGTTGTGGTGAGTTCTTTGCTCCTAATGCACTCGCGTTCGCCATTAGGTCACAAATGCGTAATTGAGGTGTTGAAGACGTAGGTGACAATTCTAGCAATCAATCGTTTAGGTGAACGAAGGTGGCTTCTTCCTACTTAGCCCTAAACGCGGTGAAAAGAAGAGCTTCCCTCAAAATAAGGTTGGTGTTTTTCCCCTTTTTACAAACATCAATGTAACCATCCATGTTCAGATCAGTATCAAGACTTACTACAACGATAAGACGTTCAGTGGAGATGGTGTTTTGACAACATCAAGCTCGTGCATTTCGAATCCGTCGGAGTTACAGGTAGTACAGCTGTTTCCTATTGCTTGGACCTGTATGTATTGACATAACTGATAAAACAATAATGAATAAGCAGTAGGCATACAACAATATTTGATTTGCTCAGTAAATGAGCTAACCATCGGACTCTAACATACAAGCTCAGTGCTTCGTTCCTATCTGTGCTGTAGCACTCTCTAGAATTCGATGGAGCAAATTCTCCGACTCTTATCATTCTGCTTACCATTGCCATTAAAGATTTTCTGCTCCATAGTACTTCTTGGTCATTTCTCAGTTCTTCTGCTGCCTTCGTGGTCATCGTATACCCCTCTGTCTTCATTCGCATTACTTTGCAAAATGCTTGAGATATTAATGATGTCATCCATCATCTGCGTTTCGGATGTATGCATGAAGTTTGAGTGGTACAAAAAGCTTGCTGTATTCAAACAATTGGTTGCTTGTCTTTATTCATTTTTCACATTTGATTTTTTTTCTTTTGTTTCTCCACATTTCAGCAACAGTGATTACGTGTTCATATTGTTTGCTTGCCCATAGACATTTTCATGACATGCGTTTCATATGTACGTAACATGTTGTTTTATTTCCACAGATTCTTGGAAACAACACTCCTTTTCCTTTTATGAGTCTGACTCAAAGCGGACGTAAAAATTCGACTTATTCCGTAAGTAAAGTTCCCTACTTATTTATTTGGTCAGTTACTATGCTATATATTTTCATCGCTATGAGTCTTAACGGATTGTGCATTCTTTCGTAGCGAATTTTCTTGCTCCATTTTTCATGCATAATTTACATGTATAGCATTGCAAAGGATGCATCGAGGGTTTCTCTAATGATGCACCTCAAGTATATTGGCATATTGAACTAAATCACATTGTTATCAAACTTTTACTGAGTTGTCATTCCAAATGATTTATGCCCTCCGTCTGTCAAGTTCTGTCCTCTCGCCACTGTGTCAGTAGTTACGCAACAAAGCGCAGCTGAGGTCGCTGCACTGCCAACAAGTACAAAATGTTCTCTGTGCACCTTGTGACGCTTTATGTCTGGGAGAAGTATTGTCGTAAGCTCATGATCAACTTCGAGTGTAATTTTCACTTGAATTCCAAGTAGATGAACGTTGCGGACATTCATTCTCCTTTCTTACCTTGATATTTTCGAAATTAGAAACTAGTCAGTTCCAAAAAGGCATTATACTAACTTGTTAGGCTGGACTAATGATGGGAAACTTGGCATCTTTTCACATGTGTCAGAATCTTATCTCATTATGTATAATCGCATCCCTCTCATGTAATCATTCCAGATGCCGCCACGAACACAGAGGTCAAGTGTAACGGGAAGAAAGAAGAACGACTCAGGTGAGGACCGATGATTGCTCGATTCCGCCATTGTAATAATAGCACATTCACTTTCAGCTGAAATTCCCAGTCGCTTCGAAAAGGACGACGTCAGCCGCTACGTCGATGGTGACCCGGTCACAATCAGCTTTGAGAGAAATCCTACAGACAGCTACGAGGACAGCAACAGCATGCCTTTACGGTGCGCTAATCAACAAAAGTTGAAAAAATATGTAGACAGATGTGTGTACATTTCAGACACGAACGAATTGGTAGCGTATACGTGGGAAAGAGCCCTTTGCGAAGAATCGAACGTGAGGATAGGTTTGGCAGTATATTCCAAGCGCTTGGAGGAAGCATGAGACGTGGTCATCGCGCCACTTTGCCTGACATTCGAGTCACATGTAAGGATTTTTGAAGTAGATTTCTATAGTTTGAGGGAAAGCGTTCTTGTTCGCTGAAAAATTGCCATCTGTAGTAATGGTTGTCGCATGCTCCTTGTTGTGCTGATTGCATGGATTATATCGCATTAGTTGCCGCTCTCATGGTCTTGAATGTCTTCCTCAGCCGGAATTGCCTTCGTCTGTTCATCCCCAGCTCGCAGATAGAACCTTTAAGCGAATCTTTTCAGAACAAATCTGCTCAGATCACCTCTGTTAGCAGTACTGAGTCTGGTTTTGATAAGAGGCTCCATTATGATGCAGTGTTTGTAACTACGAGTAGCGTCATTCACGGAACAGATAAGGACCCGCTTGAAAGCAAATCAAAGCCGCACCCGCGTTGAAGTACTTTGTCCTGGTTAAACTCGCTACCCTCATTATTTATCGTCTTCACCTGCCAGAACTCTTACCGTAATCACTGCTCCAACATCGCTGCCTTCTGTTACGAGCTCATTCTCAATACAGCTTTACTACTATGGAAGTAACAACTGTTGTCGCAGAGCCGTGGCGACACCGTGTGTCATCTATCACGGAAAGTTCATCTGTCAGCAGAGGACTGACTATTTCTTTGAGTTCTATAAGCCTTCTCAATAACTTGTGTGAGAGAAATGAGGTGGAAACAGATAAAGTGTGTACGTTAGAGATTCACACATCTTGTAAGGAATGAGTTTTCACTTTCAGCTGTAAATACATCAGATGCTGAAGCTCCCGCGCTTCAAGTACGTCGTCGTGTTGTTGATTTGGGTCGTCTTACACCAGATTCGAGTTCTTCCAGTATTCGCCAGAAATGTCCAACACCTACCGGATCTTTGGTTTGTGCACATACAGCTCATTTTTAACTTACCAGGCTGAATTTGATTTTTCAGGAACCGAAAAAAGATCAAGGAGTCAGAAGAACAGCGTCGTTTACCTTTTCTCCCAAAGGAGCTGCGGATAAGCAAAATCGGCGTGTCATTGTCCCTGAGAAGGAGGGGCGGGACGATAAGAGAAAACTTTTGTAAGTTGGAATGCAGCTTTGCTCGGATTGATGCATTCGCGTTGAATGTCTGGCGGGAAGTAGTCAGCTTTTTTCACTAGTCAATTATACATAATGTTCCTTGCCCAGCGCTTGACAAGAAAGTCGGATTTTTTATTTTATAATAAGCTGAACTTTTGCTTTGGCATTTCCATGCTCTTGCTTTGGGCGGGACCACAATTTTCCAGCAGACGTCGCGCTTAGAACTTCCTAATGGTCTGACTTTGCTAAATTCTTGTCCATGGAGGGCGATGATATAGACATGCATACTCCTCGTCGTCGAAAAGTCAGCCTTCCCCTCATTGTGAACGTTCCTCCTAGAAGATTTCGAAAATGGTACTCACTTCGTGGCGAAGGCGAGTGCTCATCGTCTTCAGCAGCTAGTAGTCCGTAAGTGCTTCACCGAAGATTATGGAAATGCAGATATTGCTCTTTGCCATTTAATCTACTCCCCCCCCTCCCAAGCGACTTTCAAATTGGCTCATGAAATGCGTTATAGTGTACCCTAATCTCTCCAAATCGTTGAAAGAGCAAAAATTTTGTTCCACGGAAAAGGCTAATTCTAGTTATGATTCGTTCAAGCACGACTGTTCGTGGATCTTCGCATTAGGTGTCGTCAAGATGTTCTTTCCACCGCGCGCAGTTTTCTTCCAGTTTTTTATTTGGTAGAACGGAATATCTGTAGGTTTGAGTTGAGCTGCAAGTTTTCATCATTTAGACACAAGTCGTTTGCCACCCAGTTAAGTTTCGGCTCGTTCACCTTAGCTTCTTTTTTAGCTGTATAGTCCATCACTTCTTCAGTTGTGGCTTAAATTATCGTCCTCCATGTGCTGTTTACGTACGCCAACTAGTCAAGAAACATCTCTTCCTATTTGAGAGAATTTGACTGATTTGTAGTGACAGCTCACGCTTTGCAGTTCACTTTGGATATTAAGAGAAAATTCGCTATCTGAGTATTCAATGAATCTTGAGTGGATATACATATTTCATAACTTTGAGCACGCAGATAAGGATTTAAAGTGAAATATGAGACGCTTAAAGTGTTTATATGTCAATGTCACCAATATTACTACATTTGAAATACCGCGTCGTTTAACGCATCCCACCAAGTCGTCGCGACTGAGAGGCATCCGCATGACGCCGCCGACGCGTGCCGCCATTTACTTGTCACTTCGTTAGACATATCCGAGCCGAGCATAATTTTCGAAATTGTCGGAAGTGGTCTACATGGGAGTTACGCAAAAAAATTAGGGCTGTGTCAGAATATCTACAATGTTATAAAATTTGTAAAAAAAAATTCAGCCCTACAAAAACTTTTTTGGGGCGCGGTTTTTTCATCTAGAAAAAAAGTAGTTGTCTACCCTTGGGAAAAAGCGACTTTTTTGGAACCTTAGCTGTCACTCAATAATTTTGCTGTATAAAGCAATGATGTTCACTTGATAGATTGAATTATAAACACTTGGTGTGATATCTCTTTTCTAAACCTGGTACACTTTTAGTGGTCCAATCTCGAAGACAATCAGTTTGATTCGGAGTAAACTTGATGTTGCCCTGTCCACATCATCGTTGTATCCGAGCCGCGAAGAGGTCCGTCAATGGCGACTCAGTTTTGAATCGTTGCTCAATCACAAATGTGAGTGATATCATCTTATTTTTTACTATCTGTCATCTTAGCCCAATCATGATTTTTTCGCTTAGCTCAGATCAACGGTAACTTCCTTAGTTGTCGTAAGTGAGGATGGTACCGTTGATTGTTCATGTTTTGTACTGAGACCTGAAAAATGCAGGAACTTGTTTTGAGATTCTATCAATCAGCATGACAGATCTCGTACACTTGTACTAGCACATCTTTCTTTGCGTCGCACCTCTTTCGTGCTTTTGGATTGTTGTCCAATTATCGCCGAAATGCAAGCAATCAGAGCATAGCACGAAGTATTAGGCCGTATCAGTGATGCTGTACTTATAATTTCTTCATAATGGTTTCGGAATTATCGTGAAGATTCACTTTGGAACATACAGAATGGATGCAAATATTTGAATTGCCGTTGTCATCAAATCTGAGTTATTGAGAAACACAATACCACAAGAGCTTTGTGAAGTCCCTGTAATTACAGATGGCTGCTCATTGTTCCGTGAATTCCTCAAGAAGGAGTTCTCCGATGAGAATGTCGATTTTTGGTTGGAATGTGAAGAGTTTAAGAAGATGAAAGAAGGAAAGAAAGCAACCATCCAAAAAGCGCATGAGATTTTCAAGGAATATGTAGCTGCGGCAGCTCCCAAAGAGGTGAATTTTATCATTTTTAACAGGAAATCTGTATCACTAAGTTGCCGTCTTCTTGCATGGTTTGCCCCCGTCATCCCCTTAGGTTTTTGAATGTAATTTGCTGTCTAATTTGCAGGTAAATCTCGACTCCGACACCCGAGCTGCGACGAAGGCAGCAATGGAAAGCGGGTGTAAAACGGACACCTTCAGTTTGGCTCAAAGTCGAATTGAGCAGCTCATGGCAAAGGACTCTTATCGCCGTTTTCTCAAAGACCCGCTCTACCTTGAACTTGCAGAAGGCTTGGAAAATGGTGAGAATTCGCCAAAAACTCACAAATGATATATCTTAACATTTTCCACATGTCCAACATACCAGTCGTTGAGGGTCCCGAGTGATTTTCGTTACGCTTTCAGTTGTACTGTTTGCGTTTACTGCATGCATCATAATATTTTCATTATAACTTTGGTCGCCTCACATTATACTCGATATACTATTACACTATGTATGTAATAAGGGTCCGGCGTTATATTTTTGGTGTTCAATATCAAGAATATGATGTTTAGCTTGCTTCCAAGCTTTAGCTTCAAAAACTTCGAGGTTTTGCATCAACAGTTAATTGGAGTTTTTGCTCACTTTCTTCTTTTTTTAATTTAATCGATTGAGCGATCGCCGCTCGCTGCACTCGATTTGATCTCCATCTACTTTGATTTCTTTTCCTATGCATTTTGGACAGTTGGCAAATGCCTTCTTTGGCATCAGACTTGACAAAGTTGATGTCAGCTGTCATTTCGTTTTTTTTCCGTCTCATCATCTCGTCTCTATGTGGTCATGTTCAATTATATATAGTGGAAATAGTCGTGTGAGGTTTTGAGGTTTTGTATCTCATCCTTGCTTATAATGCGCGGACCGAAATTATTTTTTGCATCTATGTAAAGGTAATAAAGCTGTATGTCTGTTTGTAATTGTTTAGGCTTTGCTTCGGCTTTGGTAACTTCGCCAGTGTACCAAAAGGCTCAGTAAGCAACGCGTAAAAAGTTCTGTGTTTGAGACTTGTTCTGCTGACTAGACCTTTTCGAGCAATACTTCTGCAAATATGCCTGGATAATTACAGTGAACAGTGAATGTGAACAGGAGCGTACTGGTGTTATCTTATCCGTAGGCGTCGTTTTTATACGCTTTTGCTAATCACCATTTTCTATTTTTTTTCTTTAAAAATAGTGAAGGAAATAGCAGATCATGTTTAGAAAATCATGCTTTGCAAACTTGAATATTCAATATATGGAATGCTCATTCAACGTTCCAAATAAGTCTGCCTCTAGGATTGTTGTGTATCATGCTTTAAGAGATACAGTGAGATGTTAAACAGTGAGCCCTTGAACTATGGTTTACCGATGGCAGACTGCAGTGAAAAATGGGACGTTGCAAATCCAAGGGTTTTTGAGGTCACATTGTTAGTAAGTTATTTCATCAGGTCTTGGCATACTTCTGAAAACTTCCAAAAAGGTAATTAGAAAATATATGCACATATGAATGCCGACCATCCACCGGTGGGTCATACGTTTTCAAAGCGTTCTGGCAAATGACTGAAGACACCCGAAGGATGTCCCACATGTGGATCGTTGGGATACCGCATAACTGAGTTACAGTAGTCGCATCGTAGGCACTGGAAGAAAAATCCACAAGTTTTTTTTTTCATTAAACTTGTGATTTTTGGGAATTTCTTTAGACATTTTAAGCATGGTGAAAAGTACCTGTTAGTTGTCAGTTTTGTTAGTTTTTCTACACCGAAAAACGCCATTTTAAAAGCTATCCATTGCTGATCGCAGGTTCAACACAACGAAAATCTGATTCAAATGGTAGGAATTGACTGAAAAAAACTGTCTGGTAGTGAATTTATCAGCGAGAAATATGACCTCATAAGGGAATGAGCAGGACTCGGTCTGACCAAATCAAACACGCTGTATATGATCGCACTCGCCATGACATGCTGATCTCAACTCTAAGTTATCATTACCTGCTAGGCGACTGTCTGAAAGAAAATGAGCGTTTCGATATGCACTTATCCATGTCCCTATGAAGAAATTTCGGTAGGCAACATGAGGGCGCTTAAATACGGCGCTTATAGATGTTCTGATTATTAAGAAGAAGAAGCACACTCACTAGAAAGCTAAAAAAGCCTTTGGTATCTGTAGAACATGCGTTACAGAGTATTTATGAATCTTTACTTTCGATCCCTCTTGACACCTTACACATGATCGCTAATTCAAAAAAAAATATCCATTGGGTTGTCCCGAAAGTTTTGTCGATTTATTGAGTCACCAAACCTCACGGAACATCGGTCGACGAGCGACTTAGGTATTTTTTGATTCAGATTTTTGTTACTTTTCCGATAGCTACATTTTCTCTCTAATCTATGCAACCATTTTGGATTTAACTTGGAGCTTTCATTTTTGCTGCAGTTGGGTGGGATCCGCGACTCTACCAAAAATCAAATTTCCAAAAAAAAATTTTTTTCAAGCCTCAAAGCAGCAGATCGGAAGGATATAAAAAACAATAAAGTCTGGTCAGAATTTCTCTATTTGTATCGGACTTACTCCTCGACTCGAGAATAAATTTTTGATTTTGGAGTAAACTTTCTGAATACTAGTCAAACTTTGTGGGATAGAAGTAACGAGTTAAGGATCATGGTACTAAAACTATGATTTAAAAGTCGTACCATCAGAAGGAGAAGGAAAAGTTGCATCAAATGCACGTCTAAACGCTTTTAAGTCTTTATTACGAATTTATGGTCGTCTGAAAAAGATGACAAAAGTTTCGGAAGGAACGTAACACTTCTGTTCGACAGTAATTAGGAACCTATACAGAAATCTGAATACTCACTCATATTCTGCGTCGAATGTCATTTTAGCCTCATGCCGCAGATCATTATGAATCGCGGTTGTATCTCAAAATGTATAGCAATACAAAACATCACTATTTTGACCTTCTTAGTCGCTTTTTCATGCTGTTACTTTGGCATGAAATTTCTTGCGTAATTCGCATAGAATAGTCTATACATTGCCGTAGCTAGCCAGCTTCATCGCTCACTGCAAGAAACGGAAAATTGTGAAGAACATCCTTCTGAAGCCTTATTCGAAGTCTTGAAGTGTAGCGAAAGAAATACACAAGTTCGCGGGAATTTGGGGAAAGCAATTTCAAAGTTACAAAAACGGCGATTGTTGCATGCGTCAATTTAGTAAACGCATTTTCTTGGCTTTCGTCTATACTTGAAGCGTTTTTTTCTTGCATGCACCTGATAGCTTATAGATACTTGAAATGTCTATTACGTTAGTGCTAAGCATATTATGATATCTGTTATTATCTGTGTATTTTCCTAACTACAGCACACTTATGGGGCATGGGTGTATATCGAAAGGCGCGTTTCGGCAGTCGTCATTGTCGGGAGGTGCTCGTACTCTACAAAAGCGAGGTTTCCAAACTCCTAAAGTTTTGTCATCATATCAGAAATAATAACAGAGGATTACTAGTTGAAACCCCGGTAGTACAAAACCAAATTCGAACTTTTTTTTGGTTTTTCTGATTAGTGACAATCGATCAATACGCGCCATTCGACCGTCTGCCATGCGGCATTGCCCATGTCATGTATGAACACGTATAGAGTGCTGTATGGCATGGCTTATATTAACATGTAAAAACTTGTCAATAGCTTAGAGAATCGTTGATGATGAACTTGTAAACTATACGCAGCATCATATGGAGGCTTCAGATCCGAAGTTCTTGTCAGTGGTAATCGTGTACAATGTATCGAACTGCCCGAATATATATTGCCAGAGGGGAAAGTACTACGGCACTGCAATCTCCCCCGTGGGCATCCCCCCCCCCTCCGTGGGTGGGGTTTGATGCCCATAATGGAGGTTACAGCACTGTAGTACTGCCACGTCTATCCGCAATGACAGCATTGGGGAAGGTGGGATGATCTAGGAGCATCCGAATATATTGATTCCCATTTCTACTGTCCTTTTTGAATTCCAAGCGCAGGAAGTCATACATTTCTCATTTCTAAATAGGTTGCAAAGTAAAGTTCGATAGAACAAAGCAAGCTCTACAAAATGGTAATCTTGCTGCTCCAGTTTTTATCCGCCTGGAGATTAAAGCCAAAAACTAAAAAGATCCAACTGCCCTAAAAATTGAGAAAAGTCTAACTTCGTTCAGGAAATGCCACGAAAATTCTAACTTGCTCACTTATACACTATACATATAAGACATTTATATACGGTTGCCGTATTTTTCTCCTCGCTCAACAATCAAGAAAACGAAGATTTCCGTGCTTTTGCCAAAGTGATGCTGTGCTGTCCCCACATAAGGTAATTGTATACTACTAACCTATAGGAGTACAAACATAAATGTTCCGCTTGCCACAATTTCTAGTTCTCGAGAAAGATGTATTTAGCGTTAGTCACTCGACGAAGCTATATCGATATTTCTCAAAAACTAAAGCTTGTAAAGAGCTAAAAGTTTTTTATTCGTATTCTACAGGTTTGGGGTATACACGTATAGGAATTCAACAAGCATCACTTTGGAAAAAGCATGAAAAGCTTCGGTTTCTCAATTTCTAAGCGAGGAAGAAATAGGAAAACATTTATATACGCAACGGCGTAAATGAATGTCTTTTATGGTTAGTGTATACTGAGCTACTTTTGTGGGGTTTTTTGTACAAAGTTGGATTTCTGTCTCAATATCTAGGGCAGTTGGATCTTCTTAGTTCTTGGCTTAAATCTCGAGGCGGATCAGAGCTGGCGCGAAAACAAGATTGACTTCTTGAGAGCTTGCTTTGCTCTATCAACTGATACTTTGTAACCTATTTTGAAATGAGAGTGTATGATTTATGGTTGAATATTAGAATGAACGGAACTATGGGACAGCCTGATACGATGCTGTTTTTTTTTTGTTGATATAATATGCTATATTTTTTGTTGACCGTAACTTTTTCAATCTGCGCTAGTGAACAAATTAGGATCAACTCCCGTCGTATCCCTAACATTTTTTCTTAGGAGATAGGGAAATATGCAATGCTGTGAGACGAAATCACCACATGCTGCCATCATGGTAAAGAATTTATCGAAAGAAAGCCGACCTGTGGATTCTCCGGAACGGGAATTGTCGGGGTTTTCGCGGATCCTCGACTTCATATTCGAAATCAGGGATAAAGAAGGCCCTGATACCACAAAAACCTAGAAAACGAGAATCTGGGTGGACAGTGCCTTTAAAGACAGTGGATCGGCAGAATGGACTCCTGTCAGACTTTGGTGC